ATTTAAGACTTTTATTTGAAGAATTTGCTTTTGGTTGGAATTATGTTATTAATTATGTTGTTCAATATCAGTCCAAGAAATTGCCTTTTAAAAAACCGGTTATGAACCTTGAACTTCCTGTTATCTTTGGTCTAATCGAACAAAAGGATGCTGGAATTTATTTATGTGCAATTTTGGACTTTTTGATTAAATTACATAATGAATTTTTGGATAACGTGTTAACCGCCATTCCGGTTGGATCACAATTGACTTCCAAATCGATTAAAGTGATTCATGCACAAGATGATCATTTCATTAATTATGAATGGAATGATAACATTTTAAAGTACAGTCAAAGGAATCGAAAAATGGAAAAGAATACCTATTTCATTTTTGATTTGCAAAAAATCGAAAAGAAACTTGTTAAAAAGTTGATCTATAAAAAAGTTCATTTCGAAACCGAGGATGATGACTTTTATTTAAAAAACTTTTCATTTAAACATGAATTATTTCATAAATCATCACGGATGCTTTTTGATGTAAAAAGGATGTTGTCACAAGAACCTATTCCGGAAGATAAAAGGCAATCGATTTTGGCAAAGTTTCAGCCATCAAATTCATCATTTATCTTACGGAATTCATTAAATTTATCAGAATTACATTTTTTCTTGAATATAATGCTTTGCTTTATTAAAGAATTATCAATTAAGAATAGGGATCTTCTTATTGTGGACTTTGTTAATCAATGGTTAAAATTAGCAAGATATGATATAACATATATAAACATATTTAATGAATTCTCTTTAAAATATATTGTAGCATTATATGAAATAATTGAAGAGCAAGTGGCTAATCTGAAAATTCATGATATTGAAGATAAATTTAAAGTTTCTTTAACGGAAATAATGAAGGATTCAATTAATAATAGTGTAAATTATCTCCCCGAACAAGAATCTCAACTTATTCCTGCCGAAACATTTACCCTTGCCTTAAAAAGATTTATTTATAGATTTTTATTGGTTGAATCTAATATTGAAGACTTAAATCTAAGCATGTATTTCTTAGATTTTACTTTGGATTTGTGGACTAGCGATATCAAACAGGAATTGGTCGAAAGATTGTTTCCTACTGATTTATTAGTATCGCATGCCTACGATAGTTATATCTATATCGTTAATGAAGTGGAGGTATTTAATTCTTTATTTACAATAAATCATTTACTTTAATATTATTATAAATAATTTATTTATTTATTTATTGATAATAGAAAGCAAAGGTTGATAAACAAATTAATCAAAATCTTTCAACCGTGTCACCAGCTACTGGAACTAGAAGAACTTTACAAAGAATTAAAAAAGTTAAAACAGTTACAGATTAAGATTTGTAATTATACAGGGAGTGACACTAGTTGATAATGAATAAATCCTTTTAACGGATTAACTTTTTTGAATTAAAAGATACAATTTTAATAATTCGTTTTACAACCGCTAATAAATTATAAAATGCTGAGGAACGCGTTTAGCAGTTTACAAGATAAATTTACTTTGCTATTTCACTTTGTTACACGTTGTTTTTGATAACTTAGCATACCATAATTGGCGCCGTACGAGTTTTATTAATACGTGAAAAAAATTTTCTTTAAATAATAAAAATTAGTGTTTATTTTTACTAATTTTATTAAATTCTCATTAAATTTCATAACTAATCTTTTTTGTGTTGGTTCAATTACAAAATTGAATTGTTAAATTTGACGAAAATATCCAAATAAAAATAAATCTGAGCTATAAAAAAGTTATTACCGTTGTTTTTATGAATAAATTATTTTAAATGAAAAACAAATATGTCTGGGTGATGGCTCAATTTATCTCAATGAATTAGAGATTTTTTTTCCGAAATTATTTTCTGTCTTCTAGGCTTTTTGTTTCATTACTGAGCACACTCATTCACAATTAACGTTAATAGTTATTCATTATTATAATTGATACGTCAAAAGAACGAATAAAAAGACATTTATTTATTACTTGAATGACTATATGGGAGATTTCGAACATAGTAAATAATAAGAACTGAACGTGATTTGTATAGCTTGCCCCATATTAAATTTTAACAATTTATGATAAAGCTTCGGTTTCGAAATGTGGGGAGGGTATAGGGATACTTTAGTCGGTATAGTATAAAAGTAAAAGATGAAAAATTGAAGCAAGTCGATTTCCGATGTAGAATATGATCTAGTATTCCAAATAACGATCCGTGTTATTTGATAATGTTCCTGACTTATGTCTTAAGAAGTTTTATCAAAAAAAAGCTTTTATATTTCCTATTCCAGCATTGGTTAAGAGGTATGAGATTTATCCGGTATCATGTAATGTTTTTATAATTACAACGACTATAATAAATCGCATACAATATTTACAAAAGTGTCCTACGCTTACGCTTCGGACAATTATTGATTTTTATGTATTCTTACAATGGCTTCTTTACTTTACTAAGGCCACCTCCCTCGATGATTTATTGAATTATTTGATTGGCTAAAAAAATAAAAAAAAAATATAGAGCGCGATTCCAAACTTCTTTTTGTTTTCACAGATTGGTTAAACTTTACCATTGTTTGAGCAACCAAAAAGCTTGTAATAACGCGCACTCCCTTCTTTTCTGAATTTTCAACAATACTATTGACGGTGAGTTATTATATTACTTCTTATAATATAATACTTATAGCAAATAAAAATTTTGGAATGTTCAAATGCAATGAATATAACTTTTTGATCTTTAATAATGCTGTTTATTTTTTTCCTTCTATCAAATACAAGAATACAACACCTAAATTGATGGATTTGGACAGATATTACCCATTTTAAGTAAATAAAATGTTCATAACTCTTTTTAAAGACACATTTGCCACTTTTCGCACTATTGTGGTTCAATTAAAAACCATTCAGCTTTTATTTATATTCCTCTAATGAAACGCCTATATGGAAACAAAATGCTATTACATTATCGCGACTAGCAAATGGAGCAGAAATACAAATATTATTGGAATCAAGGGAAGGGTCTGTTAATATGAATCACATGATCACAAGTATCTAGATCTTTTGATAAAATTTATTCCACGAAGTATTATGAAATTCATATAAATGATTAGATATTGTTACAATTATTCCGACTACGGAATGTTAATTTTAGCCCCGAATTTACTCACTATATTCTTTGTAGATCAATTTCGGTCTGGTGCCAAGTTGTGTTGCAAGGCTGTCCTTGTCAAAATTTTAATATATATACAATGGGTTTCTCTTGTAATTCAGCAAGTGATTTTACTATTCCCAATATTTTATTATTTTTCATTATTATTATTATTTGTTTTCTTTTCCGATATTTATTCTTATTTTTTCTTATCTTTGTTGTTCGCGGTTTTAATCAGTGATTAGCATGTTTATTAATCGGAATTGCGGGTATTAAATTGATTTCATTAAATAAATTTTACATCATATGCCTAATTTTTAATCATAAAAACATTCTGCTTACATTTTTCTTTGGTTATAAATATAAACGTAAAGAACTGAATACAACAATATTTCACCCGAGTGATTTAATATTTACTTTTTTTGATGATTACTTTCTTTTTTTGCATGTAAATTAAAATTATTAATAATGACTGATTAAATTGAAAATCTTATACAATTCGCGTCTAATCACGTGACTATTTAGAATCGTACTGATCTGCAACCAACCAGTTTTCCATATTTGACGAAAGCTTAAATTTTTCATGTGAACTGTGTTTCATAAAATGGGAAATAACAAATTTAATTTTCAAATAGCCTTGGTTTTTTTTAAAAATAAAAAATTTATAATTATTTATTTTTTCGGATTAGTCAGTCCGTATTTTAATTAAAGCTAGGCGAATCATGTAAAACGAATTCGAAAAAAAAAAAAAAAATTCCTACGCGGGAAATCACGAGCCAATCATTGAACAACACTATAATTTATATTGTATGAAAATTAGAAAAAATTAAATAAAAGAAATTTGCAATAATTTACCCGAAAAACTTTTCCGTGCACTTAATTGTGAGAAATTATTTTAAGGATCTTTCATGTAAATTCTACATTTTGATTCAAAAGGATTGAAATTGTTATTGCATTTTTCTTAAAAAAACATTCAACAATTTCTACTCATTAATAAAAAAAATTTTTCATTGGATGAATTTTACTAATTATAGAAAATTAATGATTGAAATACTTGAAAATCTCGTGGGAAAAAAACTTACATTAATAAACTCTGTTTACAAAAAAAAGGGGCCCGTCAATTTTACTTCGTTTTTGCAATTGTCCTAAAAAATGTCATTCATTCAATGATTTCAACAAGGACTTTTTGGCCTATTTCTTTTTATATAACCTGATTTGGTTTTTGATTTGAATTTGAATTTTATTTGATGAGCGTGCTCACGAAAAAAAAAAATATAGATTGATTTTGTTATTGACAAAGAAAAACGGTGAGACAATTCACAAATAATACAAATAATACAAGAATTTTGATGATATCATATCGAATTGAATTCATAATAGTACAATGATTATGAATATTATAATTCTTAACGTTTTTATGATGTGAAGTGATGTGATTTATTTGTCGTAATGCGGGGTAATTCCTAATAAGGGTCGGATTGCCTTAATGTACATTCTTCACTCATAAAGAAACCTTTGTGCTCGTAAATATAAATGTTTCAATTTAAAAAATGGTTTAATTGTTTTCCGACACCACACGATAAATTATATTTATATACCTTTCCTTATCAAGGATAAACTTATTTTTGGGGGATCACTTACTTTTTTTTTTTTTTAGGGATGGCTTTTTTTTTGAACACGATATAAAAATCGTCAACCCAAATTTTTATTTATTTATTTTTTTTTTTTTGTTCAAACAAACATAGTACATAATTATTTCTTGCTTCAAATAAACTTTCATTCGTTTAAAACTTTAAAACCGCGAATTCGCTTTCATTTTTTCTTTTCATAATAATACAATAATGAAAAATCAAAGTTCAAAACGTCGTCAACGAGCTGATAAAACAGCAACAACTGCTGCTACTTCCTCCACTTTAATAACCCTACCTACTTCACCAACAAATGATGAGAAATTAAGTGTAGCAAAAAGGCTAGATGAATTAAAAACATCCGTAAAAGATCAAGCCCATTTATTAAATAAAGATAAAGAAAGTTCAGGCATTAATATATTGATCGACAAAATAATTGATCATTATTCAGACATCAAAACTATTTTGACGATCCCTGAGCTACTGGCACCTGCCACAAAATCAAGGGCGCTAGGAACTCCAAGACCTCAAAACGCATACATTATATTTCGAAAGGATGTTTCCAGAGGAATTTATCTACTAAGTAGAAATGGTGTGATTGAAAGAAAGAAAAACGTAACATACTCTTCGAAGATTGCTGGATATTTATGGAAATCTTTGAAAACATCCAAAACTCAACATGATCATGAGTTTTGGAAGATTTTATATCAAATCGCATGTTTAAAACATTCAGCAACTTATGAAAATTATGTATATCGTCCCATTAGGAAGAAACGTAATGATGTTAATTGTCAATCTATTGAACATCAACAATCTCCAAATGTTGCAACATTAGAAACTTCTTCAAATCACCCGCCACCTCGTACAATCCCTGCGTCAGATATTAATGACGCACCATCCTATTATGATAATTCAGTTGATCAAGGTCAAACGATAGGTACATAAATTTTTTCCTTTTTTCATCACAATTTATAAGCCATTTACCTATTTTTTTAAACAAATAAAGATTTTCACTCGTCTGACCAAGGAATGGTAATTAATCAACTACAAGCACAACAACAAGAAGGCAATGACCAACCGGATACCTTGGATCCAACGCTATATCAAGATATGACAACGATTTTACCATATCAAATTCCCGATGTAATCAACCAACCACCCGGGATGATAACGCAACAAAATATAACGACGCAATTCGGATTCGCGTCTGCAACGTCAACATACGTGGAAAACACAGTTTGGCATTCAACGTACGCAATGAGCTCCCATCTCACACAACCATATTACCAATATTTTCCAAACACATATTCCACCTTACCACCACAGCCGATTTTGATTTATCCTTCATATGATGATTTAGTTTTTCAAAGCCAACTAGATCAACTAGATGGTTCGGGAAGCGGATTTATCGAATATGGCGATCAATCCCAATCATTTGGCATGTAGATCATCACATATTAAAATAATTAGCGGTTCGCTTTTTTAAAAAATAATTTTTATTTTAAGTGATACTTTTTTATATTAAGAAATTTATTTTTTATTGCTAAAAGAGAGTGCAAATGATTTACGGTTAAGGAAAGCTTATAATTCGCCGGATAAAACTTTTCCTTTTTTTACATGTTTTTTTTTTAAAATTAGAATTTATATTTGGTTTGTCTACAACGGAATCTTTACGTATTTTTAGCTGATTAAAGTTTTAGAAATCATAATGTATAGTTTTTTTTTTATAAAATTTATAAATTTTAATACTTCATTATAGTATTTATTTATATTAATAAAAAACCTTTTATAATACAATTTATTGGTACAATCGCAGCATTCAAGTAAAAAAAAAAACTAAATTGTTACACCATTCTCTTAACGTTTATAAAGCATAATAACCTGCTCGAAGAATATGAAGCTGAATTAGTATCTAATTCTCATTAAATGTAAAATTTTTTGATAAATAAGTTTTTTTTGGCAAATGTTTATTTTTTTTCTTCAAATTATATGTGATCTATAAAATTAACTGACATATATAAACTAAAATCAAGTTTCGGTTTTTAGATTTGACTTTCGGTTTCGGTTAATCGAGAAACGATTAATTGATTCTAAAATTTATTTTATTATTTATAAGCTTGAAAGTAATATAAGACAAAATCTTCCTTTATATATCAACTCGTTAAGATGAAACGGGATCAAAATTCTGATGGAAATAAGAAACAAAATGATGAAGCTTACGATAACATTTTTGAGATGTCTCGTCTTGTACCGACCCTAAAATTATCCTTTTTTTTCATCCTGGAAGTCCAGTCCTAGGACCCTTTTTAAATCATAACATAAATTAATAAATCATCTTTTATCATATACTTTCTATTTTTAAGATGTTATGAAAATTATAATCAAGTAAATTTTTTCCTTTTGTCTGCATGCGTGACGTCAATCTAGATGCAATAATGTATTATTAAAAGAGCTAATTGACTAATGAATTTACATTTATCACACAAAATTGATTATTATACAAGTTTATTCATGGCATACTTTCTTCATACGTACACTTTAAACTTTGTATCTCATATAAAGGAGAAACGAGTGATCAACGATAAAATGTAATATTTGAGAAGTATCTTTCTTAGCAAAATATAAAAAATTTATGTGATTATTGTGGCACCCTTGGATTATGAAGAAACGAAAGTTAAAATTTTATTTATTCATATCAAATTCTAATTTAATTAATCAAAATCTATTCATAATATTAATATATTTAATAATACGATATTTTACGAAATGAAAGTGTTGGGGAAATGAAAATATAAAATAAATGTCATTTAAGAAGGCGCAGTAAATAGTTTAGAAATCACGTTGATCACAATTTTTAATAATTTTTTTGCTCCGAACATATAATGGTTCTATTTCTAGTTTTATTACACGATCATCGTTATAAACATATATCAAAACGGGTTTTAAGAATATGACTACCGCAGGACCAGTTCCATTAACAGTCTAACTTTACAAGGAACGATTCAACCTTTTATGCCTCTTCATATGATGATAGTATTTCTTAAAATATCCACTAAATAGATTTTCATAATACCAAAATTCTTGCTTTACATAAACCATTTCAACAATAGATATCAATTATTACATAACAATAAACTAATATAATTTCGATAATGCTTTGATTTATTTATGAATTCTAATTTATAAATTTATTGCGAGAATGTTATTGACTTTGGTATAATTTATAAATTATTCGTGATAGTGAGGCAGTATGCCATGTTATACTGATTCATTTATATAAACATGAACGGGTAAACGTTCCGCAGAGTTGGATTGAGATAATCGAAATAAAATTATATTATATTAAATGATATCGTTTACTGTAATTTTATTTTAACTTTTTCATTAATAAATAGTATTTATTTTATAATGTCTATAAAGTCAACCAAATATTTCAACTTATTTACATTAGGTATGCATTGATTTGATTTGCTAATTTAAACTTTTGACTCTAAGATTTTTTAAAGTTCAATAAATGGAACGGAAAGGAAACAATATCAAAAAATAATATGAATTATTTGAATGAGTTATTTCGTGCTGTTTCTACAAGCCCTCCTTTTTTAACACTAAAATTAAATAATAAACCAACAACCTAAAATCAATCGTACTTGTTGAATTTTCAAAATGTTCTATTGGCTTTATTTGGGTGGTTCAATAAATTCAAAAAACGACCGCCCATAATTGAACAGCCATGTTAATAACTCGTCATACGGCAGAGTCAAATAAATTACCATCGAATTAGTATATGATTATCAAAAGGTAATATTTTTATGAATTCAAAGATTCCTTATTTAACATTAAATCAGGTTTATAGATCACAATTTTCCTTCAACCAAAGAAAAATTCAGGATATTAATCAACATAATATAATTATCAACCATAACTACTCTGTTTGCTATTCTAACTATAACGTTATGTAAATTATTGATGAGCTTTTCAAACAATATTTTTTTAAGAGCAAATTAAGTCATAAATTTGTATTTAGTTTTAATATCTTATGTGAATAGGATGGTTACCTTAAATAATTTCATTTTTTTTTTATTTTTAAAAAAAACGTAATAATTCCATTAGAGGCAATTAACACAAAATTATGCATGCATATATTGTGTTTACGCCAGCCGATCAACTATAAAGACGGACGAAATTTTTTCTACTTTTAAATTTCTTTTATTTTATCTCAACAATCATGTCAAAAGCAGATAAAAAAAATGACGTTTGCTTATATATTTCAGAAATGATCAATTCAACAGATAATATTAATGTGTTAATTAATAAATTATTCATACTTTTGAATAAAAAGCTATCTTTAGAATTTGAAAAAACGAAACAATTTATTAATAATTGTATTGCTCTTACTACTCGGGCAACTAATGATATATATAACTGGCTTAAAGAAAATCAAAATGAACCAAAAAATGTTTTTTTTCTTGGAGTTTTTTCTTATTATAATATACTCGATTTAAAAGAAAATAATGATGTAGGATTTAATAGTTTCTTAAAGGCAGCAGATAATTTTCCGATTGCACAACTATATTTAGGCAAATGCTATGTTATGATGAGGGATTTGAAACTGCAATCAATAAAAACTTTTCGTTTATTATGTATCCAAAAGCTGCTGAAAATGGTCATACAATTGCAATGTTTAATTTAGCAAAATGTTATGAGAAAGGTAAAGGAACAGAAAAAAATTCAGAAAAGGCGTTTTATTGGTATCAAAAAGCTACTGAAAATGAGAATATATATGCTATGAATAATTTAGCAATATGTTATGAAAATGGTGAAGGAACAGAAAAGAACTTAGAATTGGCTTTTTATTGGTATCAAAAAGCTGCTAAAAATGAAAATATAAATGCAATGAATAATTTAGCATTATGTTATGAAAAAGGTGAAGGAACAGAAAAGAACTTAGAATTAGCTTTTTATTAGTATCAAAAAGCTGCTGAAAATAAAAATGCATGTGCAATGAATAATTTAGCAATATGTTATAAAAATGGTGAAGGAACAGAAAAGAACTTAGAATTAGCTTTTTATTGGCATCAAAAAGCTGCTGAAAATGAAGATATAAATGTAATGAATAATTTAGCAATATATTATGAAAATGGTGAAGAAACAGAAAAAAACTTAGAATTAGCTTTTTATTGGCATCAAAAAGCTGCTGAAAATGAAGATATAGATGCAATGTATAATTTAGCATTATATTATGAAAAGGGTAAAGGAACAGAAAAGAACTTAGAATTGGCTTTTTATTGGTATCAAAAAACTGCTGAAAATGAGAATATAAATGCAATGAATAATTTAGCAATGTGTTATAAAAATGGTGAAAGAACAGAAAAGAACTTAGAATTGACTTTTTATTGGTATCAAAAAGCTGCAATAAATAATCATAAATTTGCAATGTATGATTTAGCAATATGTTATAAAAATGGTGAAGGAACAGAAAAAAACTTAGAATTAGCTTTTTATTGGTATAAAAAAGCTGCTAAAAATGAAAATGTATATGCAATGAAAAATTTAGCAATATGTTATAAAAATGGTGAAGGAACTGAAAAGAATTTAGAATTGGCTTTTTATTGGTATCAAAAAGCTGCTGAAAATGAGAATATATATGCTATGAATAATTTAGCAATATGTTATAAAAATGGTGAAGGAACAGAAAAGAACTTAGAATTGGCTTTTTATTGGTGTCAAAAAGCTGCAAAAAATAATTATAAATTTGCAATGTATGATTTAGCAATATGTTATGAAAATGGTGAAGGAATAGAAAGGAATTTAGAAAAAGCCTTTTATTAGTATCAAAACGCTGCAGAAAATGAAAATGATGTTGCAATGTATAATTTAGCAGTATGTTATGAAAATGGTGAAGGAACAAAAAAAAATTTAAAAAAAGCCTTCTATTGGTATCAAAAATCTGCAGAAAATGGCTATGTATTTGCAATGTATAATTTAGCAATATGTTATGAAAATGGTAAAGGAACAGAAAATATTTAGAAGAGGCTTTTTATTAGTATAAATTAGCCACAGAAAAAGGAAATAAAGATGCTATATTTAATTTAGCAATGTGTTATGAAAGTGGAAGAGGAATAGAAAAGAATTCAGAAATGGCTTTTTATTATTTTCATAAATTATCAAAAAATGAAAATTTATTGCAAAATATTTGTATTGAAAAAATTACATCAATTGAATTAATGAATAAACTGGAAAATAATATTTATAACATATGTAATAATTGCTTTAAAAAAAGGAAACCTTTGCAAAATCATGATGGAATTTGTATAATTTGTTATCAATCTAAATTATTATATAAATCAAGTGAAAATAAAATTGTTGATGAATTTATTAAATATACACAGATTAATTTTATTCAAAAATCTAGTAGAATGTTATTTATTCCTTATAATCAATTTAAA